CTCATATGTAACTCCACCCTCTGACACAGTTCATATGTAACTCCACCCTCTGACACAATTGTAACAACTCATAGATATACGACTTATTTGGAATGCACACACAGTAACTGTATATAGTCAACCTAGCTTACCGGAATTACAAAATCTGATATATCTTTTAGAGGTTAGTTATTTAAAAAAACAAACAAGCAACCGATACTACATAAGTCCAATTTTATTTGAAAATTTAAAATATATTTGCTGCAGGGACACAATCCCAATATCTTCTATGTATCAGCAGGTAATCTATTCTGTCTCATTTGAACAGATTTAGATTAGTCTGTAATCTATGTATAGTGTATTTCCAATAGAAAGCATGTAACATATAATTTCTGCTGTTACATTTTTGGCGAAATGTCAGATCCTGTCAACAGATGCAATGCCACACTTCCTCTCACATAATGTGATTACATCTGTCTTTAAAATAATATTTTTTTACCGAGACCCTACAAACAATCTTTGAACTTTAATTATTAATATCAAAACGTGTTGCCGACACTTTCCACGTAACATCACCCTAGGACAATCGCTGTAAATCGGCATACATATATATATAGAATAATATACAATTCTATTTTTATTTGATTGCAATATGAAAAAAGTGAACATTTTTTCATTTAGCATTGCTGTCACCAATTTTATCATTTTTAATTCTTTAACTGGAAGCATCCAAGCCTTCATCTGAAAATGTCGCCAAAACTGTTTGTTTACATTGTGATACGTGAAATAAAGTGAAATTAATGTAACTTTCCCATTGTCCGGGAATTAGTATTTTTGAGCTTTTTTTAATCTTGTTTTCCAGTTTACTTCATTTACATTTATCTTTATCATATCCAACATAAACACATAAAACTTAATCGTCTCCGGAAAACAATCTTAAATAACATTACTTTAAAACACTTTCTCATAATTAAAAAAAAAAACTTCAACACATATAGCCACCCGGAGTCACGATTTTCAAATTGCATGAGTGAACGTGAGTAAAGCAGCGACCAACATAATTTGTGAGATAAGCCGTCATTTAACCGTATTCCTCATTGCATTCACACAGTCCAATTCAATTGGTGGTACGTGTGATTATTCGCACCATCTCTCCGCTCTTAATCACAAAAATCAAAGATCAAATCAAGGATCAAAGACTATTGGGTAAATCATCTAAGCACCGACCAGTGTTGATTCACACTTACATCAAATTCTGAACACGTTCCTGTTTCAAAGTAATCGTCATCTTTGTCGCCAAGAGGAACATCGTCCGTGATGCCATCTTCGCCGTATATTTTGATATATACCTGCGAGTTCGTACCAGCCCCCAGTTCATCAGCTGTGTACACCTGTATTCTGCAATTACCCTCTGATACAGAAATACCAAAGAAATACAACGAAATAGTAGATTGGAATGCCAACGAATCAGTATTTATATGCTTCCACAAATGATGCAATTTAAAATGGTCATACAACGTTACATTGCGAATATCAAGTACGCCTATGTCTCATTACGATAAGAAGTGCACAGTCTGACCCTTGTAATCGCATAATTCATTATACAAACAGACACTGACTAAAACACGATGTCACTACATGGTATAGTAAAATATAGACATCAATGATTAACCTATATGACGTGGCATTGCAGCCAACATATTCACCTGTCAATAATTTAATATATTTTTTAGATAATAATGCGCTTTCTTCGGTACTGATGTGCTAACCCAAAATATAACTAGAATTAAAAATACGCAATTTTTACACAAAAGACTGCCCAATCCCCTTCTTTTTAAGTTTCAAGCAAACAATACCTGTTACCTCATGTTCTATTAGCTTGGTGAATATATTGTGTATTAATCAATTCAGAATATTTAAAGTGTTATATCTTTATGCCAACAACTTAATAGTTCCATATACGCCTTATCAGCGCAAGGTCAACTTTGAATACATTGCCTTAAATCGTACATTGCCTTAAATCATACATTGCCTTAAATCGTACATTGCCTTAAATCATACATTTTCAAACTTCAATTCTGAATCCAATCATCAAAATGTTCCAACTGATTTAGAAGCAAGACATTGTGTGTGACATAATATGGATTGGTTAACAACTTACGCAGTTCTTCGATAACGTGTTTAGCAGCAGCGAGAAGAATAACAGCCATCTTCGATAAATAGTTGACACTGTGAAAGATGCTACTATGAAAAAGGCACGTTTTCTGACTTTATCCTCGGGGGCGGACATCCGGGCATTTTCTACCGCCTGGCAACCCTCGCGGTGAAAACAAAGACCAAAAACTCACAGAAAACGGTACTTTGCGATGGTTGTTGAGAGTCCCCTGAACAGTGTAACAAGATTAGCCCTACGTGTGTAACATATATGAATTTGGTTGTTCGGGATTACTTCAAAGTTGAGTTTGTGTTGTTTTCTCGAGTTTTCACCGGCTCCACCGGCGTTCCACAGCAGCGCGCACAAAGCCCATAGAAACACGTGGTACAGTGGTGCGCGTCTTAGCAACGTAGAACGTAGTATAGTATATTTTATTTGACTCAAATTAATGAATTGGGAATACATTAACCATGGTCAATAATCAAAGAAACAACAACAACACAATAACAAGAAATACAGATATTAAAAATACAATAAAATGTTAAAACAGATAACACTAACAACTATTAGGTATTACATTGTAAAATTATGTTAATAAACTTTCCTAGACTATTGGCAATGAAACTGTCTTTTATTCCCATAATATGCACAAACATATCTTCTTTTGGTAATTTTAAAATATTATCATTGTATAATGATAGAGTATTCCAAAAGTAGCTACGTGCCTTTACAATTTCATCCAGTTTGCAGTCAAAAAGAGCATGCATTTCATCACCAACAGACTGATCAGAACACAGTGTG